ACGCCCAGGAAGGGGGAGGACCGGGAGCAGGATGGGGAGGAAGACTGAAGGGGAACTGGGACACACAAATAGATACACGCAAATAAAAAGATCCCCCGCATTTTCCCATATGTTCTGGGTTTTTGTCTTCCCCCCCCGTCCCCATATCTTCCCATATTTTCCTGGGAGTCGACGATTCATTGTGTCTGTGTGTTTTGTTCCCTCCTGAGCATGGCCTGCAGGAGCGCGTCTGCCTCCGCAGGAGGCTGCGTCCGCACCCACGCCTTCGGCGTGAGCGTGCAGTCCGAGAGGTCGACGCCCTGCTTTTCGTGCCGTGGGCCCGTGGACGCCCAGGAAGGGGGAGGACCGGGAGTACACCCTGCGAAATGGTTAAGAAATCATGGGTTAAGAAATTCAGAGTCTCAGAATTTGAATAAAAAACAAAATTTCTAGCAAAATCTTAGGGTTTACACTGAAACATTAAGAATAATCGAGACTCTGGCCGAAAACTTCAGTTTTCTTAAGCATCGCCTAGGGTGTAGGATGGGGAGGAAGACGACAGCCTCAGACCTCAGAGCTGACTACCTACCAGACCACCCCCAACCCAACCCGAACCGACCCCCAATTTCGAGGGGGGGGGGGGGGGCACGGGCTCCATGCGCGTTTTCTCGATGTTCCCCGCCCCCCCCCCCAACTGGAAAATGGAGGGCAAATCGAGACCTTCGGGTTGGGTTGGGGTGGTTTGGTGGGTGGTGAAGAGCACCCGCCGGGGCAGCTGACGCCCCCAGCTCCTGCGGCAGGAGGGGCGCCACTGGCACAAAGAGACCGGGGCAGACACCGAGAGGAGAGGCGTCCAGCGGCGGCAGGGGCTCGGGCGGCGCGAGAGGTGCGGGGGCAGGGAGAGAGGCAGAGAGAGAGTGGGGCAGGGCAAGGGATGGGGAGAGTGGGAGGGTGGCGGGGGAGCAGGCGTAGAAACTACCAACAGAGGCAGGGAAACAAAGGAGCGAGAGAGGGGGGGCGGGTACAAGGGCAGACGGAGAGGAGGAGGCACCTCGACGCTAACCCTTCCCCCTGGCGCCGTCCTGCGAGGACCTCCTGGGGCACGCCGTTGCGGTCGCCTGCGTCCATGCCACCTCCACGAGGGATGTGAAGAACGAGGGCGAATAGTGCCGAAAGAACGAGCGGGACGCGCGAGCTTGCAAGAGCATCATCGTCTGTCCAAGTTTGGCCATTGCGCCGCATGCTGTCGACCTGGTGGAGATCGTTATCCAAACGAACGCCTTTCATGGTCCATCAAGCGCCACGACATGGTGGCGCAGATCAGCGATTGAGGGCGGTTCCTTTGCGATATGTGGCTCTCACCTAAGCGCCGCGCACATTCGTTTGCAAGAACTGTAAAAGAATCACGGATTGAGGCGGCTCGATTTCAAAGCGCCGTGCATATTCGCTTCAAACATACAAGAGCTTCGCTGATTCGCATGGTTAACGTACAAGCGGTAGTTTTAAAACGACTCAGGACTGTCAGGACGCAACAGAATTGACTCGCGATTCCGATTGGCCAAGACGCAACAATCAAGTTGATTCGTGGCGTTGGAGTTATGAGAATGGTGTTTTGGCACGCTTCCCGATGTTTTGAACGGCTGTCCCACAACGGGGCACTTCCCTCAGTGAAAACGAATGCCTGTATGGACATATGGAAGGGAGGCTTGGAACATCGTTGGCGATTCTTGGGTTTACACGGATATTCCTCCTCCTCCTTTTCCTCCCCCTCTTCCTCCTCGTCTTCCTTCTCTTCCTCCTCCTCCTCCCCTTCCTCCCCCGTTTTCCTTTTCCTACCCCCAAGGCGGTCCCAGGAGGTCCAACATGGCTCATGATAGCCTCCGACAAACCTCTAAGAGGCTTCATGACACCTGAAAGCTGGATATGGCTCAAGATGGCCTCCGACCGCCTCAAGCTGAGCGTGGCTCCAAATAGCCTCCAAGAGGCCTCAAGAAAGTTTCCGATCGTGTCCGGATGGGTTGGTGGGGTACACGAAGATTCAAAAGTTTACCAACACCATGCAAAGTTGGATCTCGGAGATGTCCACCAAAATGTTGAAACAGACTCTGTCAGAAGGGGGAAGGTCTCGCCCTTATGGACGGCTCGGCCAGCTTAATGGGACGAATCGCCCAACGAATCGACCAGGGGGCATCATCGCGGTCGCACTTACAGAAGGATCGCTCCTGCGGCTGGAGCCGACAGAGCTTTAGAGCGCCAAACTTCGAGCTGAGCAAATTTCCTCGGCGGCTGACACGGGACCGAAGACCCACCCCCGATTGGAGGAGCCGGCGCCTCCTCCCCACTGAACAGAACAAGCCGCAGACGAACGATTGGCGCCAGCAGGGACACCGCCCCGTCTTCGGGCTACCCTCACGGTTCCCAGGGCTACATTTACGGTCGCCCTCAGGACTTCTACCACGATTGAGGCTGTTTAGAAGGCGTTCTGCCCCTGACCTTCTGGGCTGGCGGGCTTCTACCGCCTACCTCCCCATTCAAGCGACTGCTTTCTGGCGCCTCCTGGCGGGCGGTTCCGACTTGAGCCCTCCCCCTTCGAGTGGTCCTCGCCCTTCCTACGGGACCTGTCAGGCGCGCGAGAAAGAGGACCGAGACTCATCGCGTTTACTGTCGCGGCGGTTAGAACGACCCCAGATTGCCGGCCAGATTTACCGCTGACGCGCCCGATTTCGCCCTGCGAGCGAACGCACACGTGCCACCTCGGGTACAAGCACCCTTCCGAGAGAAGGAGCACGTCATTTTGCGCAGTTCCCTGCAGCCAGGTTCATCGCATTTGCCAGGTCAAACATAAGGCTGCGCAAAACTTGCCCGGGTTCTCTTAGGAGGGCCCCAGGGACGACCATCACCGCGATGTCTTGGCATGCTGCCATGGTGTTTTCCCCCTCTGTCACGGTTGACCACCTCCCTTCTACGCGTTGATAGCCCCTGGCGCCCAAGGAGCTCGTGGCGTCCGCCGTAGGGCCGAGGGCGGTTTGCTCGGGACCCTCCGCTGCATCCTGCAGCACGTGCCCACGTCGGCCCCCACGCCCCTAATTATGGTGTTCAGCTTGCGAGGAGGGCACCGACCTCATACCAGAGATGTAACAGTTCCATTATTCGGGGAGCTTGCATCGATTGTTGTCGGTCACCTTGACACTGCCCAGAAGAGAGAATCAGAGATGCACCCACCGGCTTCCGCAAGCCGATACCGACCCATCACCACGGAAAGAAGCTGTCCTCCCTTGACTAAGCAGGCACGGGCATTGGCTTCTTCCGCGAGGGTGTTCAGCCTCCGTCTGAGGTCTTAGTCTCTGAAGATGTTGTTTAATGATGACGCTTGCCCCGAGGAAAGCGCATCGAAGTCCCCGCTATCAGCGAGCTTCTCAAGCGCGGCACCATCACCCTCAACCCCCCGAAGACACCTGGCGGCTGCTTTAGGCATGCCCGCAGACGAGCCAACCGCTTCGTAAACATCCTGCTTCCACTTTCGGCCATTAGAGCCTGACGACAGAGACCGAAACTTAAGGCTATTTTGAAGGGGCCCCAGGACACACAAATAAATACACACAAATAAAAAGATTCCCCATATTTTCCCATATTTTCTGGGTTTTTGTCTTCCCCCCCACTTCCCATATTTTCCCATATTTTCCTGGGGATCGACGATTAATTGTGTCTGTGTGTTTTTTTCCCTCCTGACACGTGCTGGACGAATGGGGGTAGCCGGTAGCTCGCGCCGATGGAGGGTCGGCCTCCATTCAGGATGCGCTCGCGGCGCCGGGTGGCACGTTGGCGGTTGCGCACTCCTGGATTTCACCACTGCCCCGAGCGTCGGACTTCCCCATCGCAATTGCGTCGGCTTCATCGTGGCAGCGTCGAACGTCTCCAACGCCTGATAAGGAACAGCCTCAACGGCTGGTGGATGCGCGCCGCCAACACCTCGCAGATCGGCTAGCTCATGGGCCGCCGGCGGCAATGGGCTGTCTCGATCCACCGGACTAACAATCCCAATAACCGGGGACGGCTGCCTGACCATCGCGGCCATCGGGGATCTTCTGACCCAGGTCAATCCAGACCCGGGTCAGCAAAAAAACAAAAAACTACAATGCATGAAAACAAAAACTGCAACGCAGGACTTCGCAAACCCGGGTCAGCGAATATGCGCGGCCGCTTCGCGGCCACGAGCGGCTCGCTAACCCGGGTCAGCCAGAGGGGGTATTCGCAGGATCCTGCAGGATCCGGTGCCCTGGCTGACCCCCTTTTTCATTGACCCCCATCTCAAGGCTCCCGAGGCCACGTGGACGGCAGCCTCCCTGCGGTGATTTTTCACCGCGCACGCTAGATTAGTCACCGCAGTACTGGTTCGACCTACTTCAGCTGCTGCTTCATTGCGAATCCTGTCCACACTTGCCGTGTGGAGGTCGCTGTTGTTGCACCCAGTCGTTGAGGTCTGCGCTTACTCTTTCGCACCCATCAGCTCTGTCCGAGAGCGCTTGAAACTGCCCCGCAGCTTCAAGAAGGAGCTTCTGGCACATGACTCACACTGCCATATGTGGAACACTGTCCACCCGTAACTACCGTTCTCTCTTGGGAGAAAGCAATCGTTGCAAGTATCTCCTGGGCCTCCGGTACAAACGCGGATGCTTCGCGCCTAACCTGCGCCCAGGCGGTTGCAGCGTGCTCTGATTGCTGAGTCAACTCATTGCTTAACTGCTCCAACTTGGCCCCTCGCGCTTCGAGTGTTTCCTGCCGCTGGACGGCGTGCTCAACGGCACTCCTTCGCTCAGGGGCGCGGGCAACCCCTTGTTCTCTGGCTCGCTGGTCGGAAAGGCGGGCCCGCGCAGGAGCCGCTGCCAGGTCACCAGGAGTCCCCCGAGCCTGGGGCTCAACGCTCTGGGCATGCTGCGCCCGAGAGGCTCTCGCGAACCCCGCGAAGGCAGTTCACGACCTGTTGAGGATAGCTTCTCGCTGCTGTTCGAACATTTGTGCCTTGCTCACACAAGGCTTGCGGCTGCATGTCGACCATCTGCTGGCTCAGGGTATAGGGGCATTTCGGCAGTTGGGACCGCGATTGCCATTTCTACGGCGGCTGTTCTGGACCAGCCTCGCAATCCCGCCGGCGGTCTCGTCAACTGCTGTTCTACAGTTCGACGCGGCCTGTGCTGTACCTGATCGAAGGGGAAGGGTGCCATAATGGATTCCGATGCCTTGGCAACCGGGACCTCAAGCCCGTGCTCAAGGGCAGCAGGATACGGGGCAAATCTTCCTCCTTCAGATCCTGTACGGGTCTCCCCCACGCACCAGCGTCAGGCTGCCCCTCGGGCTCTTGGTGGGCGGTCTTGACCAGAATCCAAGGCATGGTCTACAGGTGCGACTGGTCCATACCCCGCTTGCTACTGTCATGCATCTTGTATTATGTCGGGCGTGTCCCCCTACAGGGGGATTTTCGACGAAAAATAAAAAAAATACCTCAAAAATAATCCAAAAATAGTCCAAAAATAGTCCAACCAAAAATAGTCTGGGGACTATGTTTCGAATATTGTTTAACCTTTGGGGGTATTTTGGGGGTATTTTTAATCTTTATTTTTCGTCGAAAATCCCCCTATAGGGGGACACGCCCGACATAAAGCTTGTCTTTCAATACCCGACCCGTAAGACTCATCGGAGATGATGGCCTCCAGCGAGGCCTCTCCAGCTCGCCCAGATCAACCATCTCAAGTGCAGCGTTTCGCGCTGCTTCCGCCGACAACCTGGATTTGGGCATGCAACGGCCTCTGAGCCGGACACCCCCTTGGGTTGATACAGGCCTCGGCTCGCCTTTGAAAGCGGCCGAATTCCTTCAAGTATACGATAGGATCTGTAATGATTTGTCCGTTCGCAAGAGGGTGGACGCCCACAACGGCCGCGAGCGCGCGGCGCGGGGGCGCGCACGCTTTTGTGCCTGCCGCTTCGAGAGACCATATATGATTCGCGACGGCGATCGAACCCGTAAACCTAGTCCTCACCTCGTTCCTCGGAAGGACGAGTGAGGGAAAGAAAGAGAGGAACGGCAGGGAGGCCCAGGAGGAATCTGAGGGCCCCCAGAACCCACGCGGGGTCACCGCTCGAAGCAAACTGCGCCGACGATTGGGGGCAAAACACACCTTACGCAGGCAGCCTACGCGCCAATATCCCCGCAATCGACCCCTCCCTTGAGACCGCCCGCACCAGCACGCACTCGAGAGCGCCGAGCACGCCGCGCAGACCGGACGCACAATAGAGCGGCCCCATCGGGGAGGCGCCGCAGGAGCACGTCGCCGGCCCCATCAGAGCGGCCACCCTCCGTCGCGCGGTGCCCTCCACGAGGAAGGATGACAGGCACCACGTCCTCAAACACGGCGGCTGCCCCTGCGCCCGCGTAGCGACGCTGAGCGCACGGACGAGTCGGGCTCAAACCTGGAGGAGCCAAGCACGGCGCACGTGGCCCTGCACCTGCCCAGGCCCTCGCGCACAGCAGCACGTCAACCAACGTGCCCCGCACCAGCGGGGCGCACACCGGGCGCACGCCTGCAAATGCCAGCGCAAACACTACCGCACATGCACAGTGTCTGTGGCGCTCTGAAGGGCTGCGCGCGCGGCCGGGCGCGCGCGGCCCGGGCGCTGCCGGCACGCTCCACGCGCACGCACGACACGGGAAGCGCCCACGAGAGAGGCTCCACGACAGCCCCAAGGGGGGACGAAGCTGGCAGACCGTGAAAGCGAGGCCCGCACGACCAGCCAGTGGCCACCGCGCCTCCCCGCCCGCACACGAGCGTCGGGCCTTGCAGGAGGCTGCAGAGCGCCCGAGTCAGCCGAAGCGTCAAAGCAGGGAGAACTCCTCCAGTTCCTTCACCGCCCTGGCTCCTGCTGCTCATCCTCCTCTCCCCTGTTACTGTTACACTGTGACGCCCCTCACGGGGGTGGAGACCAATGGGATGCAGCTTACTCTCTGGACCGTCGCGCTGTCTCCTCCCCGGCCCACGTCTTTTCGCCGGTAGGTTTGAAAACGACCTCCGGGCGCCAAAATCAAAAAAAAACTCGGGGGTGAAAAAACACGACGTCGGATATCTGAGGCCAAGACGTCCGCGGAAGCAGGCGGCGGCCTGCGGAAGCCCACCCTTCCTGAGGCTCCCAGGGGGGCCCCATGGAGGCTCTCGAAACATCAAAGTGGTGCCAGGAACATCCGAAGAACTCGTTCTTTGAGATTCGACACTCCAGATTTCGTAATAAAAGGGAGGGGGTCTGGACCCTCCAAGACAAGCCATTTCAGACCTCCCCCGTGGGAGAACCCTCCAAAACATCGTCCCCAGACCCCCCAGGCCCTCCAAGATGGCCTGGAAGAGACCCCCCCCCCGAAATGAGACCCCCCTCCCTTTATTACGAAATCTGGAGTACGAAATCTGGAGTACACGAACATCCGAAGAACTCGTTCTTTGAGATTCGATATTCAAGCACCCTCCCCAGGCGCTCCGCCGTGGTCTGTTCGCATATTGTCGGCCCCCTGGAGGTCGTGAGACCCCTTTTGAGGCAGCGACCGAGCTAGCGGGAGGCAGATATATTTGCGAGACACGAGGGGGTCAGTGGCCGATAAAAACCGCAACTGGGGGCCGTCCTGGTGAATGAGGAGGAGGAGGAGGAGGAGGAGGAGGAGGAGGAGGGGGGGAGGAGGAGGAGAGGAGGAGGAGGAGGAGGAGGAGGGGGAGGAGGAGGAGGAGGAGGGGGAGGAGGAGGAGGAGGAGGGCACTCTGGTTCAGGTCGGGATAGTCCCAGGTCCGGGAGACGGCCCTCCAGAGGTGGAGTGCTCGGCAGATGGAAGATTGACGTAGATCAGATGGCAACGACGACTACGAAGATCATGAGGCCGACCACGACTGCGACGACGATGACAACGACGACGACGACGACGACGACGACGACGACGACGACGACGACAACGACAACGACAACGATGCTGGTGATGATGATGGTGACGACGACGACGACGACGACGATGATGATGATGATGCTGATGATGATGATGCTGATGATGATGATGGTGGTGATGATGATGATGGTGGTGACAATGATGGTGATGGTGGTGATGATGATGATAAAGATGATGATCGTGATGATGATAATGATGGTAATGGTGATGGTGAGGGTGATGATGATGGTGACTATGATGGTGATGATGATAATGAAGATGATGATGGTGATGATGATAATGATGGTAATGGTGATGATGATGATGATGATGATGATGATGATGATGATGATGATGCTGATGATGATGATGACGACGACTGCTTTGCTGAATCTGCCTCAGACTCTCCCATCCCGCCCTGCCTGATCTTGTTTCCTCCTCATCCTCCTCCTCGTCTCATTGTCCTCCCCTCTCTGTCTTCCTTGTGCCACCGCTCTCCCTTCTCTTGTTTCTCGGCCCGCCAGCCAGTGGAATCAGAGGATGGCCAAGGAATTTGTCCCTTTCGCCCGCCCGTGAAAGTCCATGAACCAACCTCCTTTTGGGGGGGACTTCTTTGCATACCAGCTCCTGGGAGAAGCATTCAGCAATGCACTCTGTATGCGCACCGCGCCGCCATGGCCGTACCGCGAGCTAACGCTCCCGCGGGCAACTCACCAATTTGACGGAATTGCGAGGAAGTCTCGGGCGAGAGCGCCGTTCCTCACTTTCGAGGCCTTCCTGGCCAGGGCGTCTCGGGGAAAACTGTGACGAAGCATCAACTGGGAGCCGATGCTGTCGCTGGTGGGCCCTTACGAACTTGACCGAATGGCGAGGAGGTCTCGGGTGAGAGCGGCGCCCCTGAGTTCCAGGGCCTCTCTGGCCAGAGCGTCTCCGAGCAAACTGTATGGAAGTAGCGAGTCAGAGGTGATGTCGTCGCAGCTGGGCCGCTACCAACTCGATAGAATTGCGTGGAGGTCTCGAGCGAGAGCGCGGCTCCTGTGTTTCGGGGCCTGACTGGCCACGGCGTCCCGAGGTGAATTGCAAGGACGTATCGGGAGGGAGCCGCCGTCGTCGCAGCTAGGCCGTTACCAGCCTGACTGAGTTGCGAGGCCGTCTCGAGCGAGAACGCCGCTCCTGGGTTATGGTGGCTCTCTCGCCAGGGCCTCTCGGAGCAAATCGTGAAAGTATCGAGGGGGAGCCGCCGACGTCCTCCATGGGCTCGAATCTGGACCCACGCCCGAGCTCGAGCGGGAGGCTCGCTTGCAGAGAACATGCAGCAGTCGTCGAGACGAGAGCGCCCGACACCGTTCTTGGAGCTCCGCTATACCTGGTCCGCAGAAACCAGTCTTCAACGACGCCGCCGCCGCCGCCGACGACGCCCACGACGCCGACGCCGACGCCGCCGACGCCGACGCCGATGCCACCGCCGACGCCGCCGACGAAGACGTCGACGACAACGACGCCGTCGTCGACGCAGCTGCTGCCGCTGCCGCCGCCGCGGCGGCGTCGCCGGCGTCGTCGTCAACGGCGGTGCCGGCGGCGGCGAACCCCCCGAGACAGGGAGGCCGGGCACCCTGCGGCGGCGAGCCCGCCCAGGCCGCGAGGGCCACGCCAGCGCCGTACGCGCCGGCCAGCCCGTCCAGCTGGGGCCGGTGCGGGACGCGCGGGGAAGTGCAGGGCGATGATGGGGGAGGGGGGAGGGGGGAGGGGGGGGGAGGGAGGGAGGGGAAGGGAGGGGGAAGGGAGGGAGGGGGAGGGGAAGGGAGGGGAAGGGAGGGGAGGGGAGAGGAAGAGAAGGGAAGGGAAGGAAGGGAGGGGGGGATGGAGCAGGGGGGAAGGGAGCAGGGAGGGGGAGGGAGAGGGAGGGACACACAAGAGGGAGGAGGGAGGACGGAGGCTCTTGCTCGAAGACAGGGTCGCGTCGGGCGTGCTCGGAACCGAATTGGCTGCATCGGGGAGGTGGCGCGATTGACCTGGAGTCAAGCCACTTGCACGGAAAAGAGACAGCGGAAAGGTCAAAAGGAGGACGCAGACTGCAAGAACGCCAAAGGCAGAAATCACTGGCGCACTGGGCTGGTCAAAGCTAGACACCACTGCGGCCACGAGAAAAACGTTCATGAGGCGGCAGGCGCCAAAAAAGAAAGCAGACAGAGAGGAACCCAGAGCGAATGCTCATGCAAACGAAGAGATACCATGGACCCTCGGGTTGGGGGAGACCCAGTGGAAGCACAAAGGAGCGCGGATGGGGGCGACACGCGAGGAGGAAGCCAGCTTGAAAGGCGTGTCCCGGACGCGACGCGCAGGGCTTGTGCTGCTTGAACAGGGCTGGCGCCACCCAGGGGGAAGCAGAACACTCTAACGGTCGCTCCAGGCAGGTACAAGAGGCGGGGAGCCCAGGGTAGAAAGCAGGAGCAGTGGGGGCGACCCACAGCGGGAAGGGGAGACCGACCCGTGCGACACAACACGCAAGATACTGAAGGCCTGCATGACTGATGCCCTTGAAAAGGACATCGCAAAAATCCAACATTTTCACGCGCGTCTGGACTGTCAACACTAAGCCACTAGAAACGGATGAGTGCACCATAGAAGGGGCATCGACGAATCCAAAGCAAAAGGGGAGACCCAGAAGGAAAGCAAGCGGGCGGGCACGTGCCCCTACCTGAAAGGCATGTTTGGACTGAGGTGTTGCAAGCACCCTAAGAGCCAGAGCCAGCACATGCTAGCATAGGAAGTCGCGAAAGACAGGCGCGCACCGCCGAATATTCACGATGGCGCTGCCCCATTGAAAGAGAGGCCCAAGCCACAACTGCCTGAAAGCTGCATACACCACAGCGCAAGAAAAGTGCCAGAGCGATTATGGACGTCAAGAGAGGACAACCAACAAGCAGTGAATCTGGACAGACTTACATCACGCAAGAGAACTACTGCAAAACAGCGCGGTGACTCAAGGTCGGCTGTGCGAGCGCAGGCTTGCAGACAAAGCAGCAGGAAAGTCAACGGGCCTTGCTGGGGAACTCCTGGGCTCTGCGAACGAACCCAACCATCAGAGCATCCTTTTCTTCTGGAAGAAAATCCACGAGGCCGACCGTCAACGCGCCCAAGAGGTGAGTTGGACAGTGCCGCGCGGCCATGCTTCCAGCAATGACTGACAGATCTCGCTCGCACTTGACATGTATTTCTCTCTGGTATCATCACAGCTTATGCTCTTATGTCGTTAATCAAATCAGCATCATCATTATCACCATTACCATCGTCATCATCATCATCATCATCATCATCAGCATCATCATCATCATCATCATCATCATCATCATCATCATCATCGTCATCATCATCGTCATCATCATCATCGTCATCGTCATCATCATCATCATCATCATCATCATAATCATCATCATCATCATCATCATCATCATCATCATCATCATCATCATCACTATCATCCACATCATCACCATCATCATCGTCGTCATCGCAATCGTCATCATCAGATTCAGTTCCCTCTCGTGAAAAACTTAACCCTCTCTCCCCTTCCCCTCCCCTCCGAGCTGATTTTCCCATCTGCACCTTCCCCTGCTGTTTAATCCCACCAGCCCTTTGGGCGTGAGTGGTTTAGGGAGCTCTCTCTGTTCTCAACCCCCCTTCTCCCCCTTCGGGGAGGGGTTTACCCCTCCCCCTACCCCCTACCCCTGGGCCTGGAGAGGGGGTTTCGCGGGCCGTCAGAGGGGTCAATTTCGACTCCTGGGAGGCCCAAAAAACGACGACCCTCACGAGGATTCTGGCCCCGACGGGGGGGCGGAGATAGGCCCCTCTGCTCTTCTTTGAAGCCAAAATCATTGATTTTACTGCGGTTTTGGCCCCATTTTGGCCTCCTGAGGGGGCCGCGCTCATCTTCCTTCATAGCAAAATCATTGATTTTACTAAGGTTTTGGGCTCATTTTGTCCTTCTCAGGGGGCAGCCCTCATTTGCGCTTCTGAGGAGGTCGCAAGAGGCCCCAAGATGGCCCCAAGAGGCCCCCAGGAGGCTCCCAAGAGGCCTCCAAGAGGCCCCCCAGAGGCCCCCAAGCGGCCCCAAGAGGCCTTTTTTTTTCACCCCTGATCCAACGCCGCGGACTCCGCCACGCTGGAGGCTGGCCCTCAGTCGAGAGCCTCCCACGACCCCGCCAGGTCGTCGAGGAAGATCGGGACGATCTTGCCCTTCGGCACGGCGAGCCTGTCGAGCCTGACCGTCACGGCGGCCGAGCCCACGGTCATCACCACGCCCTCGCGCCCTACCCAGGGGCCCTGCACAGCGCGCAACCGCGCGCCAAGCGGGGGCGGCCACACGGCCCAGGACACGGCACCACCGACAGGAGGCGACAGCTCCCTCTCCTCGTCCTCGCCCTCGGCGACGGGCGGCCCCGCCAGCGGCACCTGCACGAACCGAAGGCCCGCGCCTGCCCCCCCAGCGGCCACCCCGCCGCTCGCAGCCGCTCCGCTGGCTCCAGCTGCCGCTCCCGCGGCCGCCTCCGCCTGCTCCACCGCTGCTGCTGTCGCCGTCGCCCCCCCCACGTCGGGCGCCCTGCCGAGCCCGTCCGCCCAGGAGTCGTCCAGGGAGCCACCGCCGTCGTCGTCGGGCAGCTCGGCCACCGCCGCTGCCGCCTCCGACGCCCGCGCACGCCGCGCGCGGCGTCTCCGCCGCCGAGCCTGCGCCGCCGCCGTCGCGCCTGGGGCCCCACCCAGCGCTCCAGCAGCCCGTGCTACACCTTCCGCACCCCCGCCCCGCTCCTCCACGTCGTCGCCATCGCGGTCGCCCTGCGCGCCAGGCGGAGCCCCAGCGCCACGCCCGGCACGGCCGCGCGGCCGGCTGCGCCGCCCGGGGCGGCCCTCAGCTGCCGGCACCGGCGGGGCGGGCGCTGCCCGCGCGCCGAGCTCCGCGATGGCCGCGCGGAGGAGGCCCTCGGCGGCCCGCAAGAGGCGGGTCCCGTCGCGGGACACCGCCACTCCTGCGAGGCCGCTGGCAGCGTGCGCCGCCAGGAGCGCGCCGCGGGCCGCCTCGAGGGCCCTGCGGCGCGCCGCACCCGCGTCACCAGCGTCAGCGCGCGCAGCGGCCCCAGCTGCCATCCCGAGGACGGCGCGGGCCCAGGCGAGGCACGGCTTGAGCACAAGCGACTAAGCGGCCCCAAGAGGCCCCAAAGAGGCCCCCAAGAGGCCCCCAAGACGCCTCAAGAGGCCCCAAGAGGCCCCCAAGAGGCTCCCCAGAGGCCCCCAAGAGGCCCCCAAGAGGCCCCAAGAGGCTCCAAGAGGCCCCCAAGAGGCCCCACGAGGAGCCCGAACGACTCACACCAGGACGAGGGGCCCGAACGACTCACACCACGAAGAGCCCGAACGATCACACCACAAGGAGGGGCCCGAACGACTCACACCAGGCACCAGGACGAGAAACCCCAAACGACTCAAATCACGAGGAGCGCTTTCTCTCCCTCCTCCTCCGCCTCGTCCTTCTCCCGCTCCCCCCACAAGGAGGATGTACAAGGAGGCGGGAGGAAGGAGGAACATGGGAGATATGCGGGGCCAAGCGGACACACGCCTGAAAAACACGACTCTCGGCATGCTTCGCAAGAGTTGCTGCTGTGAGATGGGCTGGTGGGGATACGCGAAGCGTAAAGAATTCCCCCCTCCCCACATACATGTCCACACCACCTCCACCTCCTCCACCTCATCTTCCCTTCATCCCTTCACCTCCTCATCCTCCTCCATCCCCCAGATCCTCCTCCACCTCCCTCCCGCCCGCCCTTTCTCAACCCAAATGCACATCATCACCAGGCCTGGTCAGGGTGATCCTGGGCCCTCGCATGCGTGCACACGCCCTCCTGGCCTCGAGGGCCCAATTCGGTATCGCCCTGGCAAGCCACGGCTCCCCGATGCCTGTAATCGCTCCGCTGGAAGCGGGAACGAGTCCGCGGCCCACCAGAAACCCCCCTGATCTTCCAGAGTGCTAAAAGATAGCCCTCCAGACCTGTAGACCTATCTGGGCTGCCTAGAACCTCGACAGGAATCAGGATGTCGAGGTCCTGGTGCTGTTTTTTAGCCCTCCTGGAAGGTCAGGGCCCGCACACCCCACGCAGCCTCGTCCCCCTCTTCCTGGCCTTCCTCGGGGGCGGCAAAGAGGGGGGTGTCCCAGAGGGGGGGGTGCAAATCATGACCGGCGGCATGTGCGCGACCCAGCGGGGGGCCAGGGACGTAATGAAATAAGAAGAGGCGCCATGAAATCTGGGGAAAGATCATGACCCACGCCATGATATCCACCCCCCCCCTAGTCATCACCCCCCTCTTTTCCGCCCCCGACTTCCGGCCGCGCCCCACGCCGCCCCCGGGGCCGGAGCGGGCCTCTGGGTGGAGGCCCACCGCGCGGCGACAGCGCCCACACATAGAAGCCCCCGACCCTCGAGGGCCGCAACGCCCCGTGGGCTTCCGGGGCCCTGGTGGAACCCCACGGGGATCTTCTGACCCTCCTCCTCCTCCTCCTCCTTCGTCCTCCACCTCCTCCTCCTCCTCCTCCTCCTTCGTCCTCCTCCTCCTTCGTCCTCCTCCTCCTCCTCCTCCCTCGTCCTCCTCCTCCTCCTTCGTCCTCCTCCTCCTCCTTCGTCCTCCTCCTCCTCCTCCTCCTCCTCCTCCTCCTTCGCCCCCAGACCGCCGGCCTCCGGGCGTCACGTAACGGAACTTCTGACCCGGGTCGATCCAGACCCGGGTCAGCAGGAAACCAAAAACTACAATGCAGGAAAACAAAAACTGCAGCGCAGATCTTCGCAAGCCCAGGTCAGCCAATATGCGCGGCCGCCTCGCGGCCACGAGCGGCTCGCCAACCCGGGTCAGCCAGGGGGGTCTTCGCAGGATCCTGCAGGATCTGGTGCCCTGGCTGACCCCCGTTTGCGTTGACCCCCGTCTCAAGGCTCCCGAACCCCACCGCGCCGCTGGGCCGGCTGGCAAGCACCGAGGCTTCCCCACCCTTTCCACTGGCCTCCCAAGTTCCCCCCCCCCCTCCCACGAGGCCTTCCACTGGCCTTCCACTGGCCCCCTTCCACTGGCCCTCCCCCTTCCACTGGCCTCCCAAGTCCGCGCCCGGCGCCCGGCCCCCCCCGAGGCTTGCATTGGGCGCCGGTGGCAGTCCGCGCGGCGAGGTGCCGCTGCACCTCGCTCCTGCTTCAGTGCCGTGCGCGATGCAAAAAAAGAAAAAGAAAAAAAACAAAAAAAAAAAAAAAAAAATCCCGGCAAAGCAACCTAACATCGATGTGTAGGAGCATATCTGGAAGCATTCCCCTTAAGATTCGGATGAGAATCCAGTTGTAGAATTCTGCTGTTCTCGCAGTCGTAGTCGCATTCGCGATGACAGTCGCAGTGGCAACGGCAGTCGCAGTCACAGCCTCAGCCTCAGCCTGCCTCAGCCTCAGCCTCAGCCTGCCTCAGCCTCAGCCTGCCTCAGCCTCAGCCTCAGCCTGCTTCAGCCTCAGCTCAGTCTGCCTTCAGCCTCGGCCTCAGCCTCAGCCTGCCTCAGCCTCAGCCTGCATCAGCCTCAGCCTCAGCCTCAGCCTGCCTCAGCATCAGCCTGCCTCAGCCTCAGCCTCAGCCTGCCTCAGCCTCAGCCTCAGCCTGCTTCAGCCTCAGCCTCAGTCTGCCTTCAGCCTCGGCCTCAGCCTCAGCCTGCCTCAGCCTCAGCCTGCATCAGCCTCAGCCTCAGCCTCAGCCTGCCTCAGCATCAGCCTCAGCCTCAGCCTCAGCCTCAGCCTGCCTCAGCCTCAGCCTCAGCCTGCTTCAGCCTCAGCCTCAGTCTGCCTTCAGCCAGCCTCGCCTCAGCCTCAGCCTCAGCCTGCCTCAGCATCAGCCTGCCTCAGCCTCAGCCTCAGCCTGCCTCAGCCTCAGCCTCAGCCTGCTTCAGCCTCAGCCTCAGTCTGCCTTCAGCCTCGGCCTCAGCCTCAGCCTGCCTCAGCCTCAGCCTGCATCAGCCTCAGCCTCAGCCTCAGCCTGCCTCAGCTCAGCCTGCCTCAGCCTCAGCCTCAGCCTGCCTCAGCCTCAGCCTCAGCCTGCTTCAGCCTCAGCCTCAGTCTGCCTTCAGCCTCGGCCTCAGCCTCAGCCTGCCTCAGCCTCAGCCTGCATCAGCCTCAGCCTCAGCCTCAGCCTGCCTCAGCCTCAGCCTCAGCCTGCCTCAGCCTCAGCCTCAGCCTGCTTCAGCCTCAGCCTCAGTCTGCCTTCAGCCTCGGCCTCAGCCTCAGCCTGCCTCAGCCTCAGCCTGCATCAGCCTCAGCCTCAGCCTCAGCCTGCCTCAGCTCAGCCAGCCTCAGCATCAGCCTGCCTCAGCCTCAGCCTCAGCCTGCCTCAGCCTCAGCCTCAGCCTGCTTCAGCCTCAGCCTCAGTCTGCCTTCAGCCTCGGCCTCAGCCTCAGCCTGCCTCAGCCTCAGCCTGCATCAGCCTCAGCCTCAGCCTCAGCCTCAGCCTGCCTCAGCATCAGCCTGCCTCAGCCTCAGCCTCAGCCTGCCTCAGCCTCAGCCTCAGCCTGCTTCAGCCTCAGCCTCAGCCTGCCTTCAGCCTCGGCCTCCGCCTCAGCCTGCCTCAGCCTCAGCCTGCATCAGCCTCACTCTCAGCCTCAGCCTCAGCCTCAGCCTCAGCCTGCCTCAGCATCAGCCTGCCTCAGCCTCAGCCTCAGCCTGCCTCAGCCTCAGCCTCAGCCTCAGCCTCAGCCTGCTTCAGCCAAAGCCTCAGTCTGCCTTGAGCCTTGGCCTCAGCCTCAGCCTCAGCCTGCCTCAGCCTCAGCCTGCATCAGCCTCAGCCTCAGCCTCAGCCTGCCTCAGCATCAGCCTGCCTCAGCCTCAGCCTGCCTCTGCCTCAGCCTCAGCCTGCTTCAGCCTCAGCCTCAGTCTGCCTTCAGCCTCGGCCTCAGCCTCAGCCTGCCTCAGCCTCAGCCTGCCTCAGCCTCAGCCTCAGCCTGCCTCAGCATTCAAAATGTGGCCCGGGAATGGAATTCTGGGAACTCGAAGAACACGAAGTGGCCTACAGTTGGCTCCGGGCATTCAAAATCATGCCCAGGAATGGAAGTTCTGGGAACTCGAAGATCACGAAGTGGCCTACAGTTGGCTCCGGGCATCCAAAATGTGGCCCGGGAATGGAGTTCTGGGAACTCGAAGAGCACGAAGTGGCCTACAGTTGGCTCCGGGCATCCAAAATGTGGCCCGGGAATGGAGTTCTGGGAACTCGAAGAGCACGAAGTGGCCTACAGTTGGCTCCGGGCATCCAAAATGTGGCCCGGGAATGGAGTTCTGGGAAGTCGAAGAGCACGAAGTGGCCTACAGTTGGCTCCGGGCATCAAAATGTGGCCCGGGAATGGAGTTCTGGGAGGTCAAGTACGAAGAATTGTATGACTGTTGCGTCCGGCTATTCCGAATGTGGCCCGGGAATGGCGTTCTGGGAGGTCAAGGAGCACCAAGTGTGTGACTGTTGCATCCGGTTATTCAGAATGTGGCCTGGGAATGGGGTTCTGAGAGGTCGACGAGCACGAAGTGTGTGACTGTTGGTGAAAAACGAGCCCGGCACCTGCCGCCCGGCAACTCCCAACACCTGCCCGGACCCCCCTGTGGAGTGATCTGCTGCTCTCTTTTGATCCCACTAGAAACCTATCAGTCTTCGCTGTTAGGTCAAAAGTGTGGGAGGGGAGCGGGCTAACTGGCCTCCCAGGTTCGCGCCCGGCGCCCCCGGCCCCCCCCCCCGCCGCGGGCCCCCCCCCCGCGCGCGGCCTGCTGCCGCCCGTCCGCGTCGCTGGGCGGCTGCGGCGGCGGGGGCGGGCGGCCGGCACCGGGGTGCTGCATCCCGCCGAGGCCCGCGGGGAGGCCCTGCCGCGGGGGGGGGCGCGGCGGGCTGGGCGCAGGGCAGGGCGGCGGCGGGGCCGAGGGACGGGGGGAGGTTCAGCCCGAGGGTCGAGGCCCGACGGTCGCCACGACTGGGCCCCACTCGAACTTGTGACCAAGACGCACCCTGCAGAGGTCCGAGGCTCGATGTTCTGAATCGGGGAAAGGGTCGCGGGCACAGCGCGCAGAAGGCAGTCCAACGTCCGCCTGCGGTGCTACGGTCTGCTCCCCATGCCAGAAAGACGAGGGGGTAGGGGGGAGGGTTCGGGAGGGCGGAAAGACGAGGAGGAGGAGGAGGAGGAGGAGGGAGAAGGAAGGAGCGAAGTGTCAAGGCTGCAATCAAAGCCAGATGAATCGAGGTGGTCTGAGAAATCAGGTGGCCGAAGCACTGGGCCATCCAGCGCGGCCAGCCAGCGCACCCAGCCATCGGTGCCCTCCGACCACCACAGCCCAGCAGACTACGACGACTACTGCTACCTACTCCTCCTCCTGCGCCTACGCCTACGCCTACGCCTACTCCTGCTCCTACTCCTACTCCTACTCCTACTCCTACTCCTACTCCTACTCCTGCTCCTACTCATACTCCTACTACTATTCCTACTACTAACTACTACTACTACTACTACTACTACTACTACTACTACTACTACTACTACTACTACTTACTACTAACTACTACTACTACTACTACTACTTACTACTACTACTACTACTACTATACTACTACTATACTACTACTACTACTACTACTACTACTACTTACTACTACTACTACTCTACTACTACTACTACTACTACTACTACTACTACTACTACGACTACTACTACTACTACTATACTACTACTACTACTACTACTACTACTACTACTACTACTACTACTTCTACTACTACGACTACTACTACTACGAGTACCACAATCAGCTCCACCACTACGACTACTAGTACTACTACTACTACTACTACTACTACTACTACTACTACTACTACTACTACTACGGCTACTACGACTACGACGACTACTGCTGCTACTACTCTACTAGTACGACTACTACTACTACTACTATACTACTACTACTACTACTACTACTACTACTACTACTACTACTACTACTACTACTACTACTACTACGAGTAGTACGACTACTACTACTGCTACTACTACTATCACCACTACTACTACTACTACTACTACTACTACTACTACTACTACTACTACTACTACTACTACTGCTACTACTACTGCGACTACGACTACGACTACGACTACGACTATGACTACGACTACGACTACGACTACGAATACGACCACGACTGCGACTACGACTACGACGTCTACCACAACCACGACTGCTCGTCCTACTACTCGTCCTACTACCGGTCCTCCTCAACAGCAGCTCCAGCGGCTCGGCACTCAGGTACCCACGCACCCCCGTCCGCGCCGACGAGCCCGCACGCGCAAGACGGGGCCAGGCGGACCCAACGAGAGGCCGTCGCTCGCCTGCCCGCCCCCCGGGGCCGGAGGCGGGGAGGCGCAAAAGGGGCGGCGAGGCACCCCGGGGGGCCCGCCTGCGGCGCGCTGTGGTAGCCGGCTAGGGCGGGCGGCGGCATGAGAGACAGCTGCCTTGGGGCAGCGCGGCGCGGAAGCGCGGGGCGGGGTCGGAGGGCACGGGGAGCCAAGGTGGGCGGATGCCGAGGTGCACGCCGGGGAAGAGTGGCGGCGCGGGCGGAGGGGAGGGGGGTGGGATGGGCAGAAAGGGGAGAAGGGAGGAAGAGGGAAGGGGGGAGAGAGAGGAGGGAGGGAGGAGGAGGAGGAGGAGCAGTGGAAACCCAAGAAGCATCAACGACATTGCAATGAGCCCTCCCTCCAAGTTCCCTCTTCATAGCTCCCTACAAATATGTACGTTGATTGCAGGAAGTGGCTCATTGAAACGAAACCGTCTGGAGAATTCAAGAAGTAAGGATTTCACTCCACTGGATTCCAAAAAGTGAGACACCTTGCCAAGGGCAGAGAGAGCCAATCTAACAACAGCTTTGCATGCACCCCGCAATTCCCGAAATTGTTATCCCAAATCGGTGGCAAGACAAGACTCTTGAAATCCAACACCGAGAATCACCGTGACGATTGCGTCCTGACAGTTATGAATCGTGCCAGAACACCACTCCTGGAACTATAACAATACGAATCCTCAAAATTGCGGCAAGCTCTCAAGACGAATGCGCGCGGCACTAAAGCAGCGAGAGTCACCCTTTGAAACAAGAACCAGCCTCCATCCTTGAAACTGCTGCAAGCTGTTAGAATAAATGTGCGCGGCGTTAAGGCGAGAGCTCCACTTTGAAAACGGCACGCCCTGCATCCTTGAAACTGCTGCGATGCCTCAACAGAAGGAACGTGCGCGGCGCTGGGGCGAGAGCTCCATTCTGGAAACGGCCCGCCCTCCGTCTTTGAAACTGCTGCAAACTTCAGGCTTCAGGACCATAAACAGTGAGGACGTCTCAGGCGAAACGCCAGGCCCAGCCTGCGGCCACATCTGGGAGCGCGACGGGGACTAGTTCTTCATAAGGACAAGGGATGACGGAGGGGAACGAGAGGGAGCAGTAGATAGGCTGCAACGCAATTGACTTTTCACTGAACTCGCTGGGTGCACACAACTCCCAAGAGCTCCGCGGGTGGTGACCGCCCTGCCTCCTGGCGCACGCCTCGTGCGGGGCCTCCTGCTGCGAGCTTCTCCTCACCCTCCTGATCCTCTTCCTCCCTCCTCCCCTCCTCGCCACTCTCCTCCCTCCTACTCCCCTCCCTCCCCTCCCCTCCTCCCTCTCCTATCCTCCCTCCTCCCCTCCCCCCCTCCTCCCCTCCTCTTCCCTCCTCCCCTCCTCACCTCCTCCCTCCCTCCCCTCCTACTCCATCGCCCCTCCTCCCTCATCGATGACTCAGTTTCCCGTCAGAGCGGTGCAGCTAGCCAGAGGGAGCATGCTGTCAAGCGCTGTTCTGTTGTAATGTGTGCCTCCTGCAGGGCTCGGAGGGCAGTCAGAAGGGCACCGGGCGGGACCTGCACTGCCTCGCCTCCCCCCTGCCGCCTCCCGAGGCAGCTCGGGCGGTGCAGCTTGCCTGCCTTCCTGCCCACCCGCCCGGTGGCTCGCCTGCCCGCCTGCCGGACCCGCCCGACCCGCCCGACCCGCCCAACAGCCAGGTCGTCAGCCTGCCCCACCCCGCCCCCCGCAACAGGCCGCTGCCTGCCCTCCTGCGCGCGTGGCCCCCCTCAAGCGTCCAAGCCTGCGCCCCCCCGAGGCAGCTCGTCCACTGCAGCCCGAGCCCGAGGTGAGGCAGCAGAGGAGACATGAGCACGCGCTCGGCGAGCACGCGTACACGAGCCTGGGTTGCCCCAGGCAGGCAACCCTCAGGAGCACTGCAGTGTATTGCGTCCCGCAGGGAGTTTTATTGCATCGCCTCCCGCAGGAAGTATTGTGAGTAGCACCCTCAATCCTCAGGCTGCCCTGAGGGCCCTCCCGCAGGGAGTACTGGGAGTACTGGGAGTATGGGTAGTATTGGGAGTGTGGGTAGTATTGGGAATACTGGGAGTATTGGGAATATTTGGGCTGCCTGCCTGGAGGGGGTGCCGACCGTGCTGAAACGCAGGCGGGCGCGAGCTGACCGCTTCGGAGCCCCTGGCGACGCACAGCTGCTGGAGCTGGCCCCGTCGGCCCCGCGTTCACCCTCACGACCCCCGCAACTGCACCCCGTCACCTCTGTGCCCCCCCCACCCGCACAGCGCAAAGGCAGGGAAGCACGCCTGAGCACGTTCTCGTTGCCCCCAGCGCCGCCTGGTGCACCACCAGCAAGGCCCGGCCAGGCGGGCACCGACGACGGTGCCTGGGCCGGCACGTTGGCGGGTCGATGCCCCCCCGAGTGCGGAAAGGGAGGGGGCTGAGCCCATCAAGGAGGCCCTTCCCGCTGAGCCCCGCGCGCGGGATGCAGGTGCTGGGGGCCTCTCTGGGCCACCCGACTTCGCGCATCGCGCCACGCGATGCGCGACGCTTCGCCATCTTCGCGCCCTCGCGCCCTCGCGCCGCCCCCCTTTGGAGACGGGCGCCCGCTCTGGCCCAGATCGCGACGCGCGAAGCGCGACTAGGGGGCCACGTGCGAACCCTACCCCTACCCCCCACGATTCCTGAGAGGGGGGGGGGGTCACTCTCCGCTCGGGAGCTCCCGAACGAGGTGAACCCCACCCTCCCCCTCAGAAATCGTGGGGGGTAGGGGCAGGGTTCGCACGTGGCCCCCCAGCGACCATCTTCGCCCCCTGCGCGCGTGCGCGGTGCGGTGCAGCTCTGGGGGCGGAGGCCGCACACGGCGGAGCCTGCCGACCCAGCCTGCTGCCCCCGCCGCGCCGCCCGGGAGCACGCGCCCAGGCTTCCTGCACGCAGAGTCGGAGCCCAGCGCAGGGGAAGGAGGGGGAGGGGGGGGGGCGCTGGGGAGGGAGGGGAGGGAGGGGAAGGAGGGGAGGGAGGGGAAGGAAGGGAAGGAGAGGAAGGAGGGGAAAGAGGGGAAGGAGGGGAAGGAGGGGAAGGAGGGGAGGGAGGCTGGGAGTCAGAGCCCAGTGGAGGGGAAGGAGGGGAAGGAGGGGGCAGCAGTTCCCTGCAACGGAGCGATGTCTCGGTATCCTGATGCACACGCTTGTTCGGTAAGCAGCTTGGCTCGGCAGTGCCCCGCAAGGGACGAGACGTCAGCCCGACACCGCAAGACTGGGTCCGCGGTCGCTTGGCCACGGGGCCAAGGGACATCAGAAGATCTGCCGATTCTTGGCCAGCCTGGCTGTCTGTTCTGGCTTGGGGGGCACACGTAAGATTTGCTGATTATGGGCCCTGGCTTGCTCTGCACTTGGGCAGAACACGCCCGGCTTGGTCTGCAGCCCTCACAATTCGGGTGTCCGGAGAAGGGGGTAGGTAAGACCAAAGGGGGGTCCGGAGCGGAAGACCGCAGTGGACTGCCCAGGAATGGAGGAGCTACCAGCTGTGAGCTGGGTTCGCATCCTTGCCCTACCTGGGGCTGTGTGTAAGCCCCCCCCTCTCTCGGGGAGCGTCAACTGACCACCTCACCGAGCGATGTCGGGAGCGGCCAAGAGGGGGGTGTCCAAGAGGGGGGGTGCAAATCATGACCGGCGGCATGTGCGCGGCCCAGCGGGGGGGCCAGGGACGTAATGAAACAAGAAGGGGCGCCATGAGATCTGGGGAGATATCGTGGCCCCCGACATGATATCCACCCCCCCCCTAGTCATCACCCCCCTCTTTTCCGCTCCCGATGTGTGTAAGCCCCCCACCTCTCTCGGGGAGCGTCCACTGGCCCCCTCACCGAGCGACGGGCCAGGCCGATCCTGCGCCCGGGATCGGCACCGACGCCTCCTCCTCCTCCTCCTCCTCCTCCTCCTCCTCCTCCTCCTCCTCCTCCTCCTCCTCCTCCTCCTCCTCCTCCTCCTCCTGGACAAGCCAGGAGCGAGCCTGCGCCGATCCCGGGCCCCGGACGGGCCTGGCCAGGATTTGGTGGGGCAGGCAGCTGACGCTCCCCCGACGCTGCGAAACCTCGAGAGGTGGCCCACCGGCCACGGGACCAGACAGATCTGACTAGCTACCAGACCACCCCAACCCAACCCGAAGACTCGAATTTCGGGTTGGGGGGGGTAAGAGTTCCACATGTATTTGTTCGATGTTTCCCGACCCCCCCCCCACTGGAAATCAGATCGCTGACCTCGTCGTCGGATTCGAGCGCCCGTGCTTGATCGACCGAGGGCTCCCAACGTCGCGCTTCGCGCTGCGCGACGCGCGAAGTGCGAATACCTTCGCGCTCTCGCGCCGCCTCCCAGGGGAGAAGAGGAGGATGAGGAATCGGAGCCGAACCGCGAAGCGCGAAGCGCGAATAACTTCGCGCCCTCGACGGCGCCCTTGTCGACCGGGGTGGTCGCCGCCCCCTCGGGGGAACAACGGGCTACTGGCTCCGAGCCTCACGAGGACTCCAGGCTGCGGGCCTGGGGAAGCCCCGGAACAGAGAGGCGGGGGGGGGCTGGGGCAGCAAGGAGAGGAGAGGGGAGCGGAAGAGGGAGGAGTGGGAGAGGGGAGAGGAGGAAGGAGAAGAGGGAGGAGAGAGGAGAGAGGGAGAGGGAGAGGGAGTGGAAGAGGAAGAGGGGAGGAAGAGGAGGAACAGGCGAATGAGGAGAGATGGACCAACAGTCCCCCTTACCCCTCCCCCACAGCATCCGTCACATGCAGCATCAGCGTCAGCAGCAGCAGCAGCAGCAGCGCCATCAGAATCGTTATCCTATTCTTGATCCCCCTCATCATCTGCAGCATGTCCCTCCGCTCCTCCTCATTTGCCCTCATCATCAACAAACATATGACCATCAGCACCATCAGTATCATCACACACACACACCATCATCACAATCATCGCAATCACGGCATCGTCAAACTTCGCATCCTCCACATCCTTCTCATAGCCACTTGTCACCGTACAGCACCATCGCCAGCAGCGTGGTCGCTCTTCGCTGCTCGCGCGTCATTGAACACGTATGCCGAAATCCTCGACTCCCGCCAGCTTCGTTCATGAACCTGACCCCTCGGGAGCGGCCAAGAGGGGGGTGTCCAAGAGGGGGGGTGCAAATCATGACTGGCGGCATGTGCGCGGCCCAGCGGGGGGGCCAGGGACGTAATGAAACAAGAAGAGGCGCCATGAAATCTGAGGAAAAATCATGGCCCCCGCCATGATATCCACACACCCCTAGTCATCACCCCCTTCTTTGCCGCCCCCGATTCTCATGCCAACTCCCGGGGAAACCCCGACAGGGTAACAATAACCGGATCGGGCGGGCGGGCGGGCCCTCGCGCCCCAGCGGGGCGGGTTGGGCGGGCGGTCCGTGACGGGCGGGGCGGCTCCCAGGCAAGGGGGCGGGTGGACCCTACGCAGCGGGTCGGGTGGACGAGATAGGGGGCCACATGCGAACCCTACCCCTACCCCCCACGATTTCTGAGGGGGAGGGTGGGGTTCACTTCGTGCGGGAGCTCTCGAGCGAAGTGAACCCCACCCTCCCCCTCAGAAATCGTAGGGGGTAGGGGTAGGGTTCGCATGTGGCCCCCTACGAGATCTCAAAGCGGGCGGGTCCAGGTCGGGA